ATTAAACTTAAAAATATTAAAATAAAAATTATAAAATTCACGATATTTAGATCTTAGATCGACAGTTTTCAATCATTCGATCTCTATATCGGCAAACATAATATTTTATATACTTGATTGTTGTAAGAAATATTTGTTAATGAGAGACAAATATACTGATCATGTTAATCATTTCGGAAATAAAAATTGAATTAAAAAATTCTAAGCTACATTAATGAGAGACACTGGTGGTATTACGGATTAAGAAGTATCATTGAATTTGTTTAACTTCATACGGAGGAACTACATGCTCATCTTTCCTTTGTCGCGGTAATTTTACTGAAAAGGAACAACATGATCACTAAATTCGTTAATTTTTTCGCAAAGACTTGCGGTAATTGTGATATTGCGAACAAATATAGAACCCGTTTGGTAGCATGAAAATCGGCTGATTTGGTTAATTCTGGTGAAATTTATGAAGTTTTGGTTGAAGTGGCAGCATTGACCGATTCTGCTGATTTAAGAAAAAAAAAATTAAAATATATTTGTGATGGAGTATATAGACTCAGACCCCCGGGTCTCACGATTATTGGGCCCGGACAGCGGCCCACACACGCTTATCGGACGTCATTTATATCTTGGCTAAAGGGTCAAATAGGTCCCTGTACTCATATCAATAGCTCAATTGGGTACCCGAACTAAAAAAAGGTCCAATCCAATCCTCCAACTCTTCAAAATCGTTCAATTTTTTCGTTTAGCCGGTAAGACAACTTTTTAATGTTGAGTCAGCACGTTAAGTGCCAAGTGTTATCTTGACTTATGCAAATACATTACGATGTGGACGGAATGCTTGTCTTGAAAAAACGAAAAATCTGGAAGAAAGAGGGGAGAGGGAAAATGCGACGATGAACAGTGACGAATCAACGACGTTGAGTCAGAACGAAGATTCGAAGATTCAAAGAACAAAACTTTGAAGGTTCGAAGATACGAAGAACGAAGGTTCGAAGATTTGAAGATCTGACGAACGTTCGAATATTCGAAAGATTTAATTTTGAATTAATTTCTTTAATTATATTTATGTCAAATTGCAAGTGAAGAATCAGAGGATTCATATTTAGAGATTGTACCCAATATTCTCACATATTATTATTTACGATCAATTTTAAGTAAATACTTAAAATTTGTTTCACAAATTTTTGGCACGCCCGGTGGGACATCTCTACCTCTCATCTCTTCACTTTTGAAAACGAACCCATGGCATCAAACAAGCCCGTGTTCACTCTAAATTCTAGAGCATCATCAAGCTCGAATCAAAACATGCAAGGCCCTATCACTAGGAGCCGTTCAAGAATAATGACTGCGCAGTCATCTTCGGGAACTACTCCCGGTGCGATGGATAGATTTCAAATTGTGCAAGAGATGGTCGGGAAGCTTTCTTCACCCATACGTGAAGTTACTTCCCCAAAATGGGCAAGTAGTGGTGAAAGCACATCATCTGGGTCAGACTCTACTTCCCCGTCAACCTCTCCACGAAGAACTACTCCGCAGTGGTCAAATGTCTACACTGTGATACCCACTATGTGTACAAGCACGACATCTATGGAAGAACAAATCGCCCATTTAACTAAGGTCATCGAGGGAATGAGCATGTTCATGCAATCTCAAGATCAGAAGTTGAATGATCTGAACAACAAAGTGGAAAGTTTGAAAGGTGAGTCAAGTCATACCCATGAGAAGGATCCCGAAGTGCATGAAGATAATGATTCTCACCAAGAGGATTCGGGAAAGAACATTTCATCCTCTGGGGGCATGATCCCTATTGATCAACTTAAAGACTTCATCAGAGGAACCATAAAGGGGAACATAGAAGGAAGTCAATCTACTTACTCCTATGTTAAGCCATATACTCAAAGGATCGGGGATCTGAAAATGCCCATTGGTTACCAGCCGCTGAACTTCGTCCAGTTTGATGGGAAAGGAAATCCAAGACAACATGTTGCCCATTTTGTGGAGACTTGCAACAATGCGGGAACAAGTGGGGATCACCTCGTCAAGCAGTTCGTGCGCTCCCTTAAAGCAAATGCATTTGACTGGTATACTGACCTAGAACCCGGTTCCATTGACAACTGGCAAGATATGGAACGTGAGTTCTTAAACCGTTTCTACAGCACAAGGAGGGTGGTGAGCTTGCTTGAGTTGACAACTACTCGTCAACAGAAAGATGAGCCTGTGATAGCTTACATACAGCGTTGGAGAGATCTTGCTCTAAATTGCAAAGATCGAATCTCTACAAGTTCCGCTATCGATATGTGCATTGAAGGAATGCATTGGGAATTGTGCTACATTCTCAAAGGAGTCAATCCAAACACTTTCGACGAGCTAGCAAGCAAAGCTCGTAACATGGAGTTAAGCATTGCAAGCAGTGGAAGGAAAACCATGGGTATGTATCCCATAAACAATGTTGTTGAAAAACAAGATACCAAGAATGGGGGCAAGCCCTTTTCTAAGATTGAAAATAAAGAAGCAATGGTCGTGAAGGTTGCACCTGTTAAGATCTTCTCTCAAAATTCAAAACAAGTTCCTAGGGTCGACTTGGAGGCGTCTAAACGTGTTAAACCATTTCTAGAAGAGATGCTAGAAAAGAAATACCCCTTCTTAGACTCTGACGTTCCTCCCATGTTTGAGGAACTGATGAGATTGAAGCTTATTGATTTGCCTGAGTCCAAACGACCCGAGGAAGCTACAAAGATAGATGACCCCAATTATTGCAAGTACCATCGACTTTTAAGTCACCCCACTGAAAAGTGTTGGGTGCTTAAAGATAAAATTATGGCCCTGGCTCGTCAAGGAAAGATTGAGCTCGCCGATTCTGCTGCAAGCACAAACCAAATTGCCATCACTTTTGGCAAGTTTTCTCCATTTATGGTTAAAGACAACTCGAAAGAAGGGAATAAGAGCTCTCACAATCGAAGACTTCCTTTTACTATCAAAGTGATGGGAAACTACTCTCGCGTGAGAGATGAAGAAAATAATGGCAAAGAAGGTCCATGGATCTTAGTAGATTGAGATAAACAAAATAAGAGGCAAAAATTGATCCTACCCCCAGTGAAGGGAGTAAAGAAATGGGTCAAGAAAAGGGAGGTTTATAAACTCAAGCTAAAGAAGGAAAGAAAGACTAGTGTTTGTTCCAAGGTTGAGCGAAGGTCAGTTACTCTAGACAATTATATGCCAAAGGATTTCAAGAACAAGGTGAATCAAACTTCAAGTTCTTGCCTTGGCACTCATGAAAAAGAAGTTGAGAGCTCAAGCAAATGCTCATCACCAACTTCAACTAAGAAAGAAGATGTAAAAACACAGAACTCTACCTCGTATGCTACTGATATTGTCTTTAAAGACGAAGATCTTATGTTGGGTGCCACACCCCATAATCGCCCACTTTTTGTTGAGGGATATACTTGTGGACAAGGATTCAAAAGAATCATGATTGACCAAGGATCCGCTGTTAACATTTTGACAGTTCAGGCTATGAAAGACCTTGGAATATCAATTGATGAACTCTCCCAAAGCCGCTTGATGATTCAAGGCTTCAATCAAGAGGGGCAAAGGGCAATTGGAATGATACGACTTGATTTGGTCATCGACAAGCTGAAGGCAAGCACTCTATGCCATGTCATTGATGCCAAAGCTTTGTATAATCTTCTGTTAGGACGCCCATGGATCCATGAAAATGGTGTAATTTCGTCAACTTTGCACCAATGCTTCATGTATGAAGAAAATGGTGTTGTGAAGAAGGTGTTGGCTGATGAGACTCCATTCACAGAAGCTGAGTCCTATTTTGCAGATGCAAAGTTATACTTCAAGGCTAAAGTCTCTAAAGATGAGGATGCTCGAAAAGATGATGTGTATCGCCCTTTGACTGAGCCTAAATTGAAAGAAAAGCTTGTTGAAGGTGTGGAGAGGCTCACATTCCCTCTTGCACAGATTGAGATATCAAAACCTTCTCAAAAGGCTCCTAAAGAGGAAGCTGAAAAGAAATGCAAGTCTGAGCTGCCTAGTGCACGTACGAAAGAAGGATTTGAACCAAACGCATACAAGCTCTTTGCCAAAGCCGGTTATAATCATAACGAACAAAAGTTAGGGAAGCTCATTCCAGAAGCTGGTGGAGAAGGAACACCGAAGCAAATCAACTTAAGAGGCCACATTGGATTGGGCTATGTTCAACCTAAGCCTATAAAAATCCTCATAAATAGAGCCGCAATACATCATATCAGTGCTGATGAGGAAGATGAAATAACTTCTAAGCCAAAGTACTCCGTCTTTGATAGGATTGGGGGGGCAAGATCAAGACCCGCCATCTTTGAAAGAATGGCGTCGAAGCCAAAGAAGACCGTGAAGAAGACTTTACAAGAATGGCTTGAAACGAGCCCGATGATGTTGAAACACGCTGAAGGCCTATGCATGGGACAAAACTTCAGAAGAAAGTCTGTTCATGAAAGATTGGGATTGAAGCATGAAAGCAATAAATTTACTAAAGTTCCTCTCGAAAAGAAAAGTCTTAATGAGTATAAAAGCTTTATCCCATCTCATATGAAACGAGAAACCGATGTGAAAGTAACATATGGAAATGCATTCAAAGTCAAGCCAGTGACCATTGTGCACACTCATGGTCAATATGAAGACCAATATGTGAACTCCTGCATTATCAATGTGAGGATACAGTACCCTTCATGTCAGGGTATGCATATGACCAAACAAAATGTTAAATGGCTTAAACCACCAATGATGTTGTAAGTGGCTAAACTGCTAAAACATCTCACTTTGTCTATGGGTGAGCATAATCATAGATACTCTTGGCCCACGAGAGTTTAAAATGTGTACGGCGAGCTCTTGGCCCACGAGAGTTTAAAATGTGTACGGTGAGCTCTTGGCCCACGAGAGTTTAAAATGTGTACGGCAAGCTCCTGGCCCGCATGAGTTAAAACTGTGTACGGTCCCCTCCTTTAAATTACCAGTTCAAATGGTACTTATGAACTACGTTTGACTTGATCTCCTTCACAGGAGTACGTAGGCAACTCGAAAGTTTTATTTTTGAGTTCAGTTATAACAAAATAAATCTCAACTAAGTCATTTTTTCAAAGAGAATATCAGAAGTTTGCTTACAAAAAAGGTCAAATCAACGGGAAAGGTTTAGGGAATTATTTGATCTCCTCCTCATCGGAAGTGTATTGAGTTGAGCTTCGAACAACATCTCCACAACGATGACACCATCCCAACAATGAACAGGTGGCGCGCTGACAACAACGACATCGGTAATGTCTCTTGCACTTTGAACGACGACATCATCTCAACAACGGAGCAGGTGGCGTCGATGGCAGTAGCATCGAAGGACTGCTACAAGCTCCAACAGGACTGCTACAAGCTCCTGTCGGACCGCTACAAGCTCCTGCCGGACCGCTACAAGCTCCTGCAAGACTGCTTCAAGCTCTGGCAAGACCGCCCCAAGTTCTGGCAAAACCGCTTCAAATTCCGGCAAGTCCGCTTTAAGCTCCAGCAAACCCGCTTCAAGCTCCATGAAATTTCCCTCCACTGCATCAACAAAGCTCTAGGAAACATCTGCACCGACAAAATAGCCGGTCTTCAAACCGACGAAGTGGCTGGTCTTCGCACCGAAAAAATAGCCGGTTTTCAAACCGACGAAGTGACCGGTCTTCGCACCGACAAAATAGCCGGTCTTCAAACCGACGAAGTGGCCGGTCTTCATACCCACAAAATAGCGAGTCTTCACACCGACGATATGCAATCGGCCTAATTCTTCAGATCGGTGCCACTAACCCAACGAAGGGCCCCAAGTGACACCGATGATCGGAAATCAGACCAATTCTTTAGATCGGTGCCATTAACCCAACGAAGGGTCCCAAGCGACGCCGATGACCAGCAATCGGACTAATACTTTTTATCGGTGCCACTAACCCAACGAAGGGCCCCAAGCAGCACCGAAAACCGACAATAGCTCTTCAATTAATGGCGTCATCACCTGAAATAACAAAAAACAGGGGCCTCGTTGTGATCTTAGGATTGCCCGGATTCATGGGAAGGCTCAAATCATAAAATAGGCCCAAAAGCCTAATTTATTTAAATTAAAGAAGCTGGCCCAATTTGCTCTTCAATTCCGTCGCACGCAGAACATGAGGCAGTCATTCTTCTTCTAGCTTCTTCGCAAGAAGCACGAGAACATCGTCAAAAAAAAATCGATCGAATTCCTCTCTCCAAAGCCGCAGCAGAGCAAATAAAAGCAGTACCACCATCAGCCCCAAACTCAGTGCCCAACTCCAGCGGCGGCTATTTCTTTTCTCCTCCAGCGAACCAGCAGCAACATCAACCCAGCTTCCAACTGCAGCAGCCATGGTCAATACCTTCTGAACTTTGAGAGACGGTCTACTCTTGCACAACCTCTACGCCTCTTCAGAATTCTGGCTCCTTCATTGTCTTCTTGGCATAATAGCAGATTCACCAATTTGGTGGTCCATCTCCCTTGACGTCACCATCTCATCTTCCTCGCCAGATTAATTCTTCTTGGAGAACGAGTAGCAACAGCAACTGAGCAATGGTTTCTTCGGATTGAAACAGCTACGGCGGCTCCTATTGAACATCGAACGGGTATTATCTTCTCCGGCGGCAAGATGACAACCTGCGATGGAACTGTTTCGGCTTCAATTTCCACCGGGATTTAATCTGAAATCAACATGGTCCCTGCTGCACCTTCAGGTGAATCTCCTTCCCAACGGAAATTTGCTGAAATTCGGAACTTTGAGGTCGCACCAGCAATAACAGGTCTTTTTTTCCCTGTAATACGCAAAAAAAAAGAGAGAAAGAATAGCAGAGAAGAAAAGTTACCTGCTATGAACTTCGCTTCCATAAATCTTTGATAGCTTTGAGTCTTAAAATGGAAGATGCAGAAGAGCATAAGCTGCGATTGATATTTATACACATGGATGGAGAGTTTAGATCTCAAAATCAGCAGAACATTAGTCTTAATTGGATAGAAATCCTTGAAAGTTGAGGATAATCTGGACTCTCCGACTTAATGCCCCGTATGACTTAATATTTCCCAGCTAAATGTTTGAGACTTGGACTCTGACTCCGAGTTGCAATTGAAGTCCATCACTCCATAATTCAGTGTTGGGGGTGCGTATGTTAATTTCTTAAAACAAAGAAATTGAGCCGTCACATTTTTGGGCCTATTAGAAATAATAGAATTCTAAATAAATGAATTATGTTGATCTCGCTACTGAAGTACTGATTTTGATGAGTTAATAAAATTAATTTTCGAGACTCACTTGTTCGTGATTAAATCAGTACATCCAAGCAAGTCTCGAGGGGGCATTTGTGGACATATTAAAATTATTGGGCCAACGTTCGATTCTGTTGGGCTACTCGTGATGGTTGTTGGGCCTTATAGAAATATTAATATGGACCCATTCGGATAAAAAAATTTAATAATTGAATTAATTTGGGTCATTTAAAATATCCAATTAATTTAATTATAAATTAAATCTTTAAAAGAATGGACTAATCCTATTAATTTATTTATTTTGAGCCCAATATCAAATAATGGCCCGATAAATAAGAGTCATGATCCAATTAATAAAGAGAGCAATGAATATGGTTAAGGAATCCATCCGTATGCATGGAAAATGGCTGCGAACCTTGTTAAAAAGGCTATCCAGATACATCAAAGATACGAATCTTGGTACCAGTGTCAGACATATTTGCAGATTAAGATCAAGATACAAACCAATAACAGCAACAGAAGGCAATCAGACAAGAACAGAAAGAGACGCAATCAAGATTCGAACAGTTTTGAGCTAGGGTTTCAGGATCGAAAAACAGTAAACCAAAAAATTAGGGTTTCTTGGAAAAACTCAATCAAATCAGAAATTTAGATTAGGTTTTCAAGAATCTGATGTAAAGGCTCTGATACCAAAATTGTTCACAGACTATATTGATAGTCACAGTCAAAATACCGGATTCAAGTATCAAGCAGAATTTAAAGATAAAGAACACACGATATGTTGACGCAGTTCGGATAAATCCTACTCTGCGGGGTTTCAACAGGGGAAACCCGGTCCCAAGAATCCACTAGCTCAGAAAAGTTTGAATACAAAGATGGTTGCAAAGCAAGGAACAAAAGTAACAGATCTGACACACTAGAATCAGCCAAATACGAGCAAACGAATAAAATAAGAAAAGGAACAGAAATAACCGGACGAAACTCCCAAAACCCAGGAGTTATCAGATTCTTGGTCTCGAATCAACTGCCCTGGATCTGCGCTTCACCACACGGTATAATCCTTGCCTTTCTCAGCTTATCCCGAATCCAGTGTATCTCGGATCACGAAGAAGAAGAAGAAAACCAGAGGTTAACTCTTCGCAAGCTCTCTCTGTATCGCCGTTCTGTATTAGGGTTTTGAATATGGCGTAATAGATGTCTCCAGAAGAAGGAAGGAGACTATTTATAGGCGAGAGAAAGAGCTGGATCAAAGTAATAAGAACCGAGCTCACCACGGTTAAAAACAGGCCCAATCCAAATGAGAGGATAAAACTGAAACGGGCCAGACCTATTTAATGGTCCAATTGAAGAAATCAATTAGAGTCCATTAAATATAATTACTTTCTAACCTTGATTTACCTTCCTATCTAAGTATTCAAACATCAAGTATAACATAACTAGAATTAGGATTACAAATATAACACTAAACAAACGCCCATTTTATTCTTCGGCGCTATTGGCCGGAAATACACATGATAAAGAAGAAGAATTTCGGCTCAACGTCCTCGTCATCAGCATCCAAGACCGGGGTCGGAGGACTGGGAATCTCGCCACTTTCAACCGCTTGGGCCCGCTTCAGGTCCTGATCCACCTTGTCGGTGACCCTCCGGAGCTCATCATCTTGCATATAATTCGCCAAGTTGTAGGTGGGACCACCAAGCTGGGCGAGGATGATGCCAAGGTAGTAGCCACTGGCAAAGCCATCATCAGCCACATCAAGTAGGAACTGATTGCCGAGTGGGGTCCATTCCAGGAGCTGCACCTCATGAGCCAGGCGCTCTTTTTCTCTTGGCCCGTAGCTCCTCCTTAAAAACGTCTCTCATGGCCCCACGACAGTAACGACAGGCGAAGATCATGAAGTCTGCCGACTTCCCACCCTCAAGAGATGGGGGGGGGGGGGGGGGGCAGGAGCAACGGTGATGTCGTGCTTCTCCATCACGGCCAATTTGGAAAGGAGATCCTGCCTCTTCTTCTCAGCCAAATCCAGGGCGGCCTGGAGTTTCTTCATCTGCTCCGCGGCAGCCTCTTTCTCACGTTGGGCGGCCTCATGGGCCAACTTCAGAGCCTCATCGGCCTTCCTCTTAGCCTCGAGAGCGTCCTGCTCCCTAGCTGCCTCAAACCGCAGCAAACTTAGCCCGGTGTGGACATATTAAAATTTTTGGGCCAACGTTCGATTCTGTTTGGCTACTCGTGATGGTTGTTGGGCCTTATAGAAATATTAATATGGACCCATTCGGATAAAAAATTTAATAATTGAATTAATTTGGGTCATTTAAAATATCCAATTAATTTAATTATAAATTAAATCTTTAAAAGAATGGACTAATCCTATTAATTTATTTATTTTGAGCCCAATATCAAATAATGGCCCGATAAATAGGAGTCATGATCCAATTAATAAAGAGAGCAATGAATATGGTTATGGAACCCATCCGTATGCATGGAAAATGGTTGCGAACCTTGTTAAAAAGGCTGTCCAGATACATTGAACGAGTGCCGATTTTTCTATCTATTAAATGCAAGCACATAGAGTCCAAAGCCCATTTTAATTAGGGCCCATGAGATATGGACGAATTTGACAACCCTAAAAGCATATTTTCACCCCATCCACACCTATAAATAGGGGTCTCAGTTGAGAGGGAAGAGGAGGAGAATTTTAAGACGAAGAAACGTTGCAGAAAAGCTCTCAAGAACTCCCGTAAGGCTCTGAACGATCCCGAAGAAGAGGAATAGATCAAGCCACGATTTTTGTTAAGAATATACGAATAATCCTTCGTGATTTCGTCGATTCTTAATAAAATAAATCCAAAAGTTGAAGAACGTTCGAAGATCTGAAGAACGAAGCTTGAAGATTCGAAGATCTGAAGAACAAGACTTTGAAGATTTGAAGATATGAAGAACGAAACTTTGAAGATTTGAAGATATTCATATTAAGATTGAATCAAGATTCAATTGAATATCAAGCCACATATCTCGGGAGGCCCTTAAACAGAAGATCAAGCCATAAAACGGCCCTTTTGTTGAAGATCAAGCCACTTGAAAACCGGAGGCCCTTCAAGCTGAATTCTTAATTCAAGAATATTTGAAGATTCAAAGAACGAAGATTCGAAGATTCAAAGAACAAAACTTTGAAGGTTCGAAGATACGAAGAATGAAGGTTCGAAGATTTGAAGATCTGACGAACGTTCGAAAATTTGAAGAATTAAAGATTTAATTTTGAATTAATTTCTTTAATTATATTTATGTCAAATTGCAAGTGAAGAATCAGAGGATTCATATTTAGAGATTGTACCCAATATTCTCACATATTATTATTTGCGATCAATTTTAAGTAAATACTTAAAATTTGTTTCACACCCGGTCTGAAAGAAACAAAGCAAATGAGGGGAGGAACGACTTACAAGGGTTAGAATAATCACAAGGAGGAAAAATACGTACCTGGAGGGTCAACACCATAGCATGGCTGACAGCCTCAACCGATGTGCAGGGGGCTGATGCACTCCAGTTTGGAGGGCAATTTCCCTCCAAATCTCAGTGACCGGGCGGTCGAGAGGAGGCATTGCAGAATCCTCAGCCACAAGAATGGAGGTCTCAGGGCGGGGCCTCTTTGGCCTCTTTTCCTTGACCGTTTCCCTGCCTTTGGGGAGAGCAACCTTCAACAGCTCCACATCCTGAACGAAGCCAGATCCAACATTAGGGGCCTCCGTGTTTTGCCCCATTACAGCCTCAATGAGTTGTTGTTCGGCCTCCCCAGTACGCTTGTTATCCTGGGAGGACGCAGAAGAGTTGGCTTCTGAAGACTGGGCAACTTTGGCCCTTTCCAGCGTCGCCTGGCGTTTGGCAGCCTTAGCCGCTCTGTTAGCCAGGACCTTATCTTGATTCATTTGTTCTTCGATGGGGGGAAGACCTGGAGACCGGAAACAAAAAAAGGTTAGAACTGGGCGGTATGAACCTCAAGGATGCTTACCTCAAGAGCAGGACCGCCCAGGCCCTCAAGCAGAGCATAAACGAATGAAGAGACACGGGCGATACCTATCCCTGCCTAGGAAAGCGCCATGGGAGATAAGTAATCCTTTAAGGCTCGATTCCGCCCGTTTTTAGCTTCCTGACATCCCCTCCTTCAAGTCATCAGTTAACTCTGGTGGCCCGATCTTGGGAGGGTACCCGTTCCACGTCACACGGAGCTGGCCGTCCGGATGACGCAGGAACAAAAATCGGTTCTTCAAGTCGTGAATGGAGGTCGGAGCCCTAGAGAATAGTTTTTGACCAGGGCGGGCAGCAACGCTCCGAAACCCATCGACATTCTAGGGGTAACCCTGAAAAAATAATGGAAACCAAGATTCCGGTGAGTACCGCATTTAATGCAGACGAATTGGTGGTTGAGGCTCTAGCCATCCATAGCTCACCACGTCAGCATGTCCAACTGTCCATTGGTGGTATAAATATTAACATTTATTTCATTGTAAAGGGTTGACAACTTAGCACTCTTAGCAAAATAACAATTGTAACAGCTCACAACATAGCATTAGACGAACGGCTTCAGGGCTTTTGTACGTACTGAAGTGTATTATGTACGGATTCTATCATCTTTAATAGACCCGACCCACTTACTATGGATTATTTAGCCCATCTCTGCTTGTTTAACATCTATTCTATCACCTTCTTCATTCGAAATCTTTGGGTTACGTGTTGGGCCTACGGATTGAAGGAATAAACCTCAACACACACAACATTTAGATGCAATATCTTGAACATTTCGTCAACTTGGCAATTACAACTGAAAAATGAACTAGATTGATAAAGACTAAGAGCCCGTTTGGTAACCCTTGCTTTTGACTCACCAACCTCAACAATCAACTTGAAGCAACTATAGAGGACGATTTTTGTTATTTTCATATAATTTTTTTATTTAATTTATGAGCTTTTTTGAAAAATATTACTGAAGTGAAACT